TAAAGGGACCTGAAAAAGGAGGAGAGAGGGGAGCCTGGCTAGCCGGGGCTAGCCAGGGCTAGCCATGAAATGCTGGGCCACAGCAGGAATTCATCCATTGGAAAAGGGGGCTGCAGGGTAGCAGTATCTCCAGGGTAAGAGGGCTCCTAGGGTAGAGGTACAACAGTCCAGAGGGTCTGGAGCAAAGTCAGGAGAAAATGGTTCAGAGAGTTAATCACAGTATGAGACAGTGAAGTACCGCACAGTGAGGTATAGTGGTATAGCTTTAATCCCACAGCCCAGTACAGCATCACAGTGCAGCTAGCAGAGCACTCCACAAATCAGCTCACATGGTGTCCCCCACACAGGACTTGGAAACCTTGGAATTGGCCAGTACAGGATGGAAGATGAGGCTAAGAACCTGGCTTGAATTCCCAGAGCCCCAGAGCCCTCTGGTCCTTCCTGATGCCAGCATTCCGTCCCTTGATGCTGATTCTCACTTTGTGGATCCAGGTGGTTGGAAGGCTGTGATGCTGGGTCCTTAGCTCAGGTACCTGAGCCTCAACTTTCCCAGGGTGTGTCTATGGGGCTTGTCAAGGGATTCTGATCAAACCCTGAAACTCGTCTGGGTGGACACCTACCCACCCCACCCACTGTCAGAGCCTGCCTGGAAATTAGCAGACACTGAGACACTGTAAGAATCATGGAACCATAATTAGGGAGCCTGAGGATGTGTGCTCAGGAGCAGGTCACTTCCCCTGGCTGGGCGTCAATTCTCTCCCTTGAACATGAAGCTTCCTTTCAGGGCTAAAGCTGCATGAATCCATCATTCCATGAGAGATTTATTAAAGAGGACCAGTGATATCACAGGGTGATATCTTTACTTGCTCATGAATTAGATTTAAGTGAGTTGCACAAAGCTGTGTGTGAAAGTGAATAGTGTTCAAAGATGAAAAAGGTCAGAAAAGCCTCTGTTTGAAGGACCTTAAATGATGAGCAGTGGACTTTAAATTTGATTATAATAAATTTTAACTAATAAATAGAATAACTAGCATTTCTAAAGCACCTACTATGTGCCAGGCACTGTGCTGTGCACTTTACAATGATAATCTCACTTGATCCTCCCTCCCTGGGAGGGAGGTGCTATTAATATCCCCATACTACAGCTGAGAAAAATGAGGTCAAGCAATTTTCCTAAGTTTACACAACTAACAAATGTCTGAGAACAGGTTTGAACTCAGGTCTGTCTTTCTGGCTCAAGGCCCAGTGTTCTATCCATGGAACCTCTTGGGGAGAATAGGAAGCCATTGGAGTTTTAGCAAGGGACAGTGGGTAGGGGGAGATGATGGTGACGTGGGCAGACACAGGAAAAGCTTAGAACATGGAATGATACACTTAACCCCAATTGCCTCACTAAAAAAGAAAAAAAAAAGAAGATGGAATGACAGACCTGGGAGTGGGAGGTAGGAGAAAACTATAGGCTGTGTGAAGAAAAGAACACTGAGTTTGACGTCAGGGGACCTGGATTCAAATCTAAGTCCTGGGGGGAGGTGAGACACATCAGTAAAGAAGGTAAGAAACAGCACAAAATACAAAATAGTAAGTAACTGTTTTTGTCTGGTAGCCCGGCACTTGGTAAATGTTTATTGAATGGATGAGAAGTTCAGTCAAAATGGCTAATAAAAACTTGAATGCAGAGGTAGCAATTTTAGTTAGAAAGAATAAGTGAAAACTTTATAGGGAAAGTAGTACCTGAGATTAAATGATGGGAAGGATTTCAACAGGAAAAGCTGTACCTCACCTCCCTCTGGGATCTTTACAGTTCTCCGGACTTATGGTACTACCATGGAAAGGAAAGTCTTCACGGTTGCTAAGAAGACAAGAAATCCACCCCCGCAGTAACCCCCACTCCCCCAGGGACATATACAGATCTCCCAGTTATAAGACTACCCAGGAGTTGAAGTTTCCCTGAAGTGGAAAGCTCTCTCAAGGTCACTAGAGTTCCTCAGACCTCCACAGTCCACATAACTCACATTACTAGTGAAGGGAAAGGTCTGGTTTTGCTCTTTCACATCACAGTTCTGTTTCTTGCCATGATACTCCATCTTGATCTCTGTACCTGTGTACTGGTTGTCCCCCAAGGCTGGAATGCTACCCCTCCTCATCTCTTTCGCTTTCTTCAAGACTAAGATCAAATCTACCTGTCATTAGGATGCATTTTTCTGGTCTCTCTCCCCATCCTCACCTCTAGCCCCAATCCCTTCCCTCTGTAATTACTTCCTATCAATTCTGTTTGCCTGTGTATATGACGTGTTGTGCAAACACACACACACACACACACACACACACACACACACACACACACACAGACCACCTTGAGAGCAGGGTCAGTGTTTTACCTTTCTTTGTATTCCTAGCTCTTAGCCGCACATAGTGAGTACTTAATCAGTGCTTAATGACTAACTAAGCTCCTTCACTCTTTTGACATTCCCTGTTCCAAGGCCCCTCCAGGTTCTGACATTCATTATTCTAAGGCCCCTCCCAGCTCTGACATCCCCTGTTCTAAAGCTCGTCCTAATATTGACATTCTGTATTGTTGTGTTTGTCTGTGAAGCATGGAGGCTTATTCATTTCTGTTCTAAGTCTATTTTGCTGTGAGTCATGAAATCCATAGATAAAGGCACCTGCAGATGCCTTTAAATCTATCATGAAAGAGGGGTGCACACACACACAAATGTGGCAGGGAGGGATGGCCTGGTGAGAACTTGGAACAACACAGTATAGGCTTCCTTTCACTTCCCCATGCTTCATGCAGAAAACATAGTCCCCTGCCTAAGGTACCAAGGAGCCACCTCTCCCCCCCCCCCCGCCATTGACCACTTGCACCTAAAATATTCCCATTTGAGCCCTTCCACCAGAAGGCATCCCAGGGAGGCTGTGGTAGGGGGAGAGCCAGCTGGCTGACTCGATATGGCCCGACACACACAACTCCCCACTCCACCGGGACCACCACCACAGCAGAGTTGAGGATTAGCATCTCTTGGGGGGGGGATGTTCCTCCACCATTGGTGTCCACCTGCCACCCAACTCTCACTTGTCCTTCCAAGAAGCTGTAGCTGCCCCACCCTGGTAAAACCTTGGCAAGAGTCAAATCAGTTTGAAGGTAAGCAACTGGTCTCAAACCATTGGTGAGTTAGGGGGGTGTCTACCCCAAGCATATGAAACCTTCTCCTGGCAGCAGGGGCAGATGAGAACAATTTGTTCCAATGGCCACGAAGGCAGCTGAGGCATGCACTGTAGAATGCTTAGAGCTCGGTCAGACATCAAAGATGCCAAGGTCATTCACTGCATCCCAGGCCACTGCCAGTTATCTTGACTTTTGTCCTGCCACTGGACTTAGATGACTCTGGAAGAGTGAGGCTGATGGCTTTGTGCAGCTCTGCCTCACTTAAATCCAATTTGTGTATGAGTCAAGACATGACCTATGATGTCATTAGTCCTCTTCAAAAGAAGGATGAACAATAAAGCTCTCATGATGAACTCGTGCAGCATTAGTCCTGGAGAGAACCCAGCCAGGGGAAGTGACCTGCTCCTGTAGACCTGATCTGCACACATGCACAGAGGCCCAGACCAGCCCAGGGGCCAGGGTTTCAGAGCATAGGCAGGCTCTGGGCATGTTTGTCATCTTTCCATCATCACATTCAAGGGAAGGTTCACCCTTTTTAATTTGAACCGCCTGAGAAAAGAGAACTTACCTCCCCCTCACTCCTCTGAGAGATACCAGAGAATGGAGACTCTGTGTCTCCTATCAGAATGAAAGCTCTTGTGAGGACTATGGCCCTGACATCCCATGTCCCCAGTCCAGAACTTCTCAGGCTGTGTTTGCTCCCTCCCCCTCCCATCTCATGTTGTTGTTTATCCTTCATTCTCAAAGAGGAAGTGGATGCCATAACACGTAAGCGAATTGGATTTGAGTGAGGGAGGGCTGTGCAAAGCCACCAGACTCACTTTCTCCTCCAGAGCCATCTGGGTCCAGTGGCCAGAAATGGACAGGAATGACTAGAGATGGCCCAGGATGCAGCAGGAGCAGGAACTCTCTAAGGGCAGAGACTATGTCTCCTCCTTCCTCTGCATTCCCCTTATACCATCTAATACAGAACTCAGCCTGGCAAAGACTTCTCAGATAATCACCGACTTTACTGAATGTTCTTCTGTTTAAGAAGCACAGCCTAAGGGGCATCTTGTCCAGGGAGCACCTCTGGGAAGACAGAAAAGTTCTGGGATGGGAATTTGGCTTGTCCTGGAGAGTGATCTCCGAGATAATAATAACATAATAATAATAATACTGATAGCTAGGATTTCTATAGCACTCTAAGGTGGCAAAGCACTTATGTATGTATGTATGTATGTATATACATACACACACACACATACATATGTACATACACACACATATGGAGAGGGAGAGACGGAGAGATACACAGAGGGAATTGGGTGGATGGGACAGTATTTGTGAATAAAAGTGACGTTTAGGTCACTATGTTACTGGGTTCTAATTCTGCCTTCCATGTTGATTAGCTGTGTGACCATGGCCAAGCCCCCTCCCTCTTTGAGCCTCATTTTCCTCATCTGTAAAATAGGAGTGATAATAACTGCCATACCTACATTACAGAGCTGTCGTGAGGATCAGATTGGATTACATATGAAAAGCACTTTGTAATCCACAGTGTTATAGGAATGTTGGCTATTAGCTACGTGCATGTGTGTATATGTAGTGCATGTGGCAATGTGTGACTGTGTGTTAAGAGTGTATTTGACTTCTGCATGGGGTGGTCTGTGCATATATGTTGGGGGAGGTGCAACTGAGCAGGATTTTGTGGTTTAAAGATCTGAGAAGTGGGAGCTGAGTCCTGGGGAGGCCTTCCCTGGGAGGCAGAGACCAGTCTTGCTTCTTGTGTGTGCGCATATGTGCACATGAGTGTGGGATGTGTGCTCAGGCCGTGGGAGTGTGTGTGTGGGGAGATCTCTGTCTGGTACCTGGTTGCTTTGTTCAGAGTTTCAGACTTAGCCTAATTTCCACCCACCTCTGTCCCCCTCCCCCAGTCACCACAGGAAGTGGGCTGAGCCTGGGGGATTTTTAGTCTCTGCCCAGGTAGCTGCCTTTTCATAATTGGAGGCCCTGGGCCAGGCCAGTGCATGGAGCCCTTAAGGCAGAGTGGCAGGCTGCTGACAAGGTCCTGCCTCCCTCCTCCGGCCACCTAAGGGACGGTGACCTCTCCTCTCTGGGAATCCCCTCTCATCCTAAGAAATCCCTGCCTCAGAGTGTGTTTGCCTCCTCTGGTGGCCCTTGTAGGGGCTGTGTCCCTGAAAGAGGCAGCAGAGGGGGCAGCTACTGATGCAGACGGTAGCAGAGCCTGGAGAGCTGGAGGAGGTAAGTCTGGGGCAGGGAGCCTTCTGAAAGAGAAGAGAAAGATGAGGAAAAGGAGATGCTGTGGGGCAGAAGTGATGGACCTTGTGAGAGGAAAGAGAAAGAAAAGGGAGGTGTGGGGAAAGAAGTGCCCAGGGTCTGGGTCATTGTGGTGACACAACAGCACTGGGTTTGGAAACAAAGGACCCGGGTCAAAGCTTGCCTCTGATACTACTTAGGACAAGTCCTTCTACCACCCTGCGCCTCAGTTTCCTTCTCTGTAAATATATAGGATTTGGAGCAGACAGTAACATTAGGATTTGAGTCCATTTTAGAGAGGTCATTGGTATCCTGGAAAAAGCATTAATTCTAGAATCAGAGATCCTGGGTTGGCCTCTGAGCTCCCTTCCAATTCTCTTATAATTTGGAGGGTTTCCGGAGAGGGCAAATATGGCAATGATGAGGATGAAGCTCCTGCCATATGAGGATGGGTTGGAGGAACTGAGACACTGATTCGGAAGGGAAGACTGAGGTGGGGGAGGGGGAATTAGGAGAGCCACCTTCAAATATCTGGAGGGCTGGCTGTCCTACGGGAGATGGGTTCCATTTGTTCTGTGGCTACAGGAAGCAGAATTAGGAGTGGGTGCAAGTTGCAACAGGGTAGATTTTGGCTTACATTAGGAAACTTCCTAACCGTGACAGCTGTCCCAACGTGTAATGGGCTGCCCTGAGAGGTGATGGCTTTCCTCTCCTTAGAGATCTTTGAGCAGACTGAATGAGCACTTAGCAGGTGTGTGGTAAAGGGGATTCTTGGTCAGGAATGGGTTGGACTGGATGGCTGCTGAAACCCCTTTCAGACTCCGAGATCTTGTGAGGCTGTCATTTCTTAAGATCCATCCAGCCTTTCAGACTGTGGTCTTATATCCTCTCTTCCTTTGGGGGAGGGACCTTTGAAGTAGGCAAGAATAGAGTCTAGGGAGATGAGGAAAGTGGGAAGTGGGAACATGGATGGGGGAGGGGGGAGAAGGCTAAGCGACCTTCTGAAAAGAGGGCTACAGTAGAGAGTAGTAATGGAGATGTTGAGGGACCAGGGAAAGGTAATGAGCCATGAGAAAAGGGAGGGGCTGCTAGGGGCTGTTTCCCAGCTAAGGAGGGGGTGGATGGCAGGCACATATATAAGTAGTTTCATTCTGACACATCTTTCCCAGCAGTAAAACAGATCTGGGGCCCCGTGGGCGAGAGATTACCATCCTCTGTTTTTCTTCTCCTTTTCTCTGGGGACAGCCAGACAGGGAAGTGGTAGCCTTGGAGAACAGGTGAAGAGGATGCTTCCAGATCCCTCCCTCCAGATTCCCTTCCTTGTACCCTGACACCTGCCTTCCCCTTCCTTCTCAGAAGAATGAGGGAGCGTCTTGGGTTCCCCTTCTGAGCCTGTGACTGTTGAGTTGTCAGGGAGTGTGTGGGGGGGAGGCAGAGGGCTTGTGTCTGTCCTTGTGTCTTATTACATGAGATCAAAATCTATCTCTATGACTCAAGATTCCCCCACTCCTAACCCTTCCCCTTCACCCCGTAGAAGTCTGAGGGTTATAGTGTCATAGGATACCACAGTGATCATGGAGTCCATCTCTCTGATATTCAAAGGAGGAAACTGTGCCCCAAAGGCGGGATGTGCTTTGTTTAAGGTCACGCAACTAGTAATTATGAGAGCTAGGTTTTGAAAAAAAGCTAGGAGTGTAATCTCCTGATGAGTCAGCAGCGCAGCTGAACAGCCTCCAGAGCTGATGCCTTCCTTGGCCACAGGAAGTGTCCAGAACAAGGGAAATGATATTCCTACTGAGCTGTGCCTCAGTCAGCCCCATCTGGAGCATGGCTTCAGTCAGTGATCACCTTGAGCATGGCCAGGGGAGAGCAGCCAGGATGGTTCATGGCACATCCATATGGACTGGTTAAGGGAACTACCCTTGATGATGGGAAGTTTGTAAAAGGGAGGGGAGGACGTGAGAGCTGCTTTCAAGTATTTGAAGGGCTGTCACTGGTGAGAGGGATCAGACCGTTCTACTTGGTGCTACAGGACAAAAGTGGGAGAAAGAGACTGATTCAGCTTGAGGGATGTTGTAGATGGCATTCCTGGGCATTCCAAATCTGATGTGTTTCCATGATACCTCAATGCCCCCCTTCATTCAGCTGCCAAGGAGAGCAAGAGTTAGACAGCCTCTAAGAGCCAGGTAGGAGGTGAGAGAAGGCTGATGGGGTGGGGGAGAGAGATAATGTAGTCTGAAACTCATTCCCCACCATTAGGACCTGGAGAGGCAAGAGGCAAGACATCACTCCTGTCTGGGCCACAGTTTCCTCATCTATTAAAAAAAAAGAAGGGCTGGATTCAACATCTTCTAAGGTCCCTTGTAGTTCTAGATCATTTAATCAGTCTCCTTATTGGAAAAATAAAACTGTGTAGCAGAGAATGTCTAGTGTCCCATCCAGCTTGCAGGGGGAGGTGGACTGACAGAGAAGATTTCACCTTGATGCAAATCAGAATAGTCTAAGAATGAAACCCACTGCCTTGGGAAGAAGTCTTCACACAAAGGGATGGTTTCAAGGGAGATCTGGTGCTGGGAGGGAAGTTGGGTCTCTGAGGTCCCTCTGAAGCTGAAGATCCTGGGATTCCATGAACCTAAACCAAGGGGAGAAAAGTCCAGCTTGCCTCAGGTGTTCCATTGAATTAGGAGCAGAGTAGGAGACCAGCTGATCCTCTAGCAGCTAGAGCAGGAGGTCTAATCTCGGTGCCAGTTTTCAGAAAAGACATTGATTGAGAAGCTTGTGTATGTCCTAAAGAGGGGTACTCCTTATCAACAATGTTGAGCAATGGGCTCACTGCAATTTCCTGCTTTTGGGTCTACGCACACACACACACACACACACACACACACACACACACACACACACAGCTCGCTCTGTGTTATTGTTGCCATTTCAGTCCTATCTGACTCTTCATGACCCTATTTGGGATTTTCTTGGCAAAGATACTGGAGTGGTTTGCCATTTCCTTCTCCAATTCACTTTACAGATGAGGAAACTGAGGCAAACAGGCTTAAGAGACTTACCCCAGGGCACACGACTAGTAAGTGGCTGAGGTGGATTTGAACCAAGGTCTTCCTGACTCCAAGTCCAGTGCTCTATCCACTGTGTCACCTAGCTACCCCCAAAAGCTCTGTGAGTTTTGCCCCTAAAAGGTCATTTCCCTTATCCTTGCTATAAGGATCCTTAAAATATAGAAGCCAAATTAACTCAACAAGGATTAAATAACCACTTGTTTCAGGCACTGGGGGTACAGAGACAAAAGCCCAACACCATCCCTGCCGGCAAGTGGCTTGCATTCTACCAAGGGAGTACAATATACGGAGAGACAATTAAATAGAAGGTAATTTGAGAAGCATAAGTTATAGGCAGGGTTAGGAAAGCCATTGAAAGCAGGTGGTCGTAGACATGAGCCTTGAAGAAGGGTAGGGATTTCAGGAGGCCAGGATAATGAGGGAGAGCATGCCAGGCATGGGTGACCACCTATGAGGAGGAAGAGGCAGGGATGGAATGTTGAGTTCCAGAAAGAACTTTGTCTGGGACAAAGTGTTCATTGAGGGTGGGAACTGTTTGCCTTTTGTCTTTGTATCTTTTTGTTTTGTTTGTTGAGGGGAGGGAGAGGTAGGGTTAAATGACTTGCCTGGGGTCACACAGCTAGTAAGTGTCTTAAGTCCTCCTGACTTCAGGACCAGTGCTCCATCCACTGTGCCACAAAGCTGCCCCACCTTTGTATCTTTAGGGCCTAATGGAGTGACCTGGACACAGACGGTGCTTAATAAATGCTGGTTGATAGTTTGATCAATGAAGGGGAGTAGCATGAAATGTCAGGAAAGATTTGCAGGCATTTAAATGCCGAACACAGGTGTGTGTTTCATCCTAGAGACCATAGGAAGTCACAGAAACTTCTCAAACAGGGGTGTGATGTGGTGAGACCTCTATTTTGGGAAAATAAGTTTTGATAGCTGTTTGGAGATTGTTTGGAAAGGAGAGAGATGGTTTAGGGAGAGTGACTAAGGCACCAATCTAGGTGAGAAATGATGAAGTCAGAAGTTAGGGTGGTGGCCATCTGAGTGGAGAGAAGGATAAAGAGGTTATGGTGATCAAATTGGTGAGCTGACAGTTAGCTGGCAATGGGGTGGCTGGATGAAAGAGAGAGAATTAACAAGAATTAGTAAAGGGACTGCTATGTTCCAGATAGTGTGCTAGGTGATGGAATACAAAGACAAAAATGAAGTAGCCCCTGCCTTCAGGGAGCTTACATTCGAATGGGGAGACAACATGTGCATAAATGAGCATATACAAAGTAAAATACGAGCGCACTTTTTTGTGACTGGGCAAGGGGGGGGTTAGCAGCTAAGGAGGGATCAAGAAAGACTACTTGTGGAAGATAGCACTTGAGAAGAGTTTTGAAGGAAACAAGGGATTTTAAGAGGTTCAGGTGAGGAGGGGGAGGGGACAGGCATTTGTTAAGCACCTACTGTGTGCCAGGCACTGTGTTAAATGCTTTACACAATGACCCTGGGAGGTAGATGCTATTATTTTCTCCATTTTACAGATGAGGAAATTGGGGCAGACAGAGACTATTCGACCTATCCAGGGTCACACAGCTAGTGTGCCTGGGGTGGAATTCTAACTGAGGTCTTCCTGACTCCAGACCAAGCACTCTAACCACTGTGCCACCTAACTGCATTCCAGGTCAGGGAGTGGAGGAAGTGGCAGCCAATGCAATGTCATGGCGATGGGCAATGATATCTTGTCTGAGGAGCCACAAGGCCAGGTTGGCTGTGACGGGAGAGTGTGGAAAGAGGAGTAATAGTCATAATCAAGTTGAAGCTGATTTGGGGCCCATTTGTGCTGGGCTTTAAAAACTAGAGGGGCTCCTATCTGATCTCAGGGGCAATAGGGAGTCACTGGAGTAGAATGAGTTGAGGAATCATATAGTGTGATCT